TATACATAATGTTGTATATAGTTTATAAACAATATTGGAATTGTAATATAGCATATATATATATTTTTAACTTATTTTCTCGAATACATTAGCTCTACAGCTACTCTGTAAATTTCGAGCATAAATAAAGTGTATGTTTGTATGGATGTATTTCTGAGAATTTGTTACTATTTGAAGCAGCTCAAGGGCTGGCTAAATGACTTTAGTATAACAATTTAATTTAAAGTATGATTAACTTTGGGATGCCACGTGATGAGTAACGAGACCACTCTTCCTAAAAAAACTGAATGAATGTTGTGATTAGTCTTTTGCGCTTGACTTATCACTTGATCATGTCATTAAGAACTAAGGTACTAGTCATGTAGCACCTTAAAGCCCAGAATCAAGATTCCGATTGTGGTGGATGTTGGTGCCAAGTCGATGCTCCCTCCAGATGATTTTTTTGTAGGACTGGTCGTGATGCTCGTTGGGGGTCCGGTTACGGTTGCAGTGGTGGACACTGATGTTGCTCGTGTTGGCGTATCGTTACAGAGGTCATCCTGGCAGCAGTAGCCATCACAAGTATGTACCCTGCCACCTCCCGAGCTTAGCGAGGCATTTATATTCCCACAGACCTGGTTATGGTTCTCTGGGGTACAAACGGATTGAACAGTGCAGTTTAGAAGGTTTGCCTCAAGATCGCCATAGGAGGGATGGTGCAGTGAAACAAGCAAGGAAAAGCAGGAATCATAGGACTGGTTTCCAATGCCACCAGTACATTCGATCACGCTGGATACATTGCCGCACCTGGTTATCCCCGCAGAACCACCGGGAGCGCTGACGTCTGGCTCACATGAGTAACATCTTATGGCCCAAGCTACGAAAATAAGGAAATTGTTTAGTGATCTAATTTAAGTCAATTAAAAATCGACAGCAGACGAAAACAAAACAGAACAAAAAACATACTCTTCAATATATTTCTACATCATCTCTTTAAAACAAATACAGTTTCGAGCCAATAAAGAAACAAACGATACTCATGGTGAGGTACTAAATTATTACTTCTTATTTTCTGGCGAATCAATGAAGTGTTAAAACACTGGTAAACGTGTCATGAAAGATATTGTTCATCGTGGATAATCTGCATTAAGGGTTCCGTTTGTCGTTTGTCCTCGATTGTCCCTTAGATATTGATCGCGACGTTTCGACCGCGTACTACAGGTCTTCATTAGGAGATAGTGTCGATTTACTGAGTAGGACTATTTGTACCACTATGGTTGTTAGGGATTTGTGTATCGCGAACCTCTTTCATGGTTGGCGGTTCGTGGTACAAATAACTCTACTTTGAGTATTCAGCACTCCTGTAGTACGTTGTCGAAACGTCGCAATCAATATCTAAGTGACAATCGTGAGATAAACTGACGACAAACGAAAACCTTGCTTTATACTGGAAAATGTGTTTACGTAGTCACCTCAACAACAGCGATTGTCTGTCAATAGGATCATATAGGTAATCCAATTGCGGTTTATATCGTGGGCTTTTTCGTTGAACTCCGGCTTGAACTTTTGCAACGCAAAGAAAATCCTACCTTGCTATTATACGTCCAATTCTACTTTCATTAAAGGCAGAAAAAGATAGGAATCTAGNTCCGGCTTGAACTTTTGCAACGCAAAGAAAATCCTACCTTGCTATTATACGTCCAATTCTACTTTCATTAAAGGCAGAAAAAGATAGGAATCTAGGCACAGAATGAACTAAAATTTGCTAAGTAGAAAGCAGGTTGAAATATCGTTCGTGACTGCCCCCCTTTTAATTTCACAAACCATTGCATCTGGCAGCTTCATGGGGGAAATCAAGATTGCTTTGCATTTTGTTCCTGGGAAACACAATTTCAAGACATCCTTTTTAATGTACACTGCTTCCAGGGTACATCTCTCTTTATCCTCAAACGTTTCAAAGCGAAAGAAACCTACTTTCGGCTACTCTCACCCCTTCTCTGCTCGTTTTGGCCGCTCATGCTTTGCGGCTAAAGGTTTGTGACATGGCTGTGTGCTATCTTTGAGCACCTCATTCTTGAACTGAGCTACCGTTTTGCTTCATAATCCAAAGTTATTTCTGAACAAACTGTGTATAGTGTCTACTAGCCTGGTTTTTAAACTTACATATAGCGCTGTTATTATGGTCAGCAGTACCTTAGGATATAGAGTAAAGTTCAAAGCGTCAACAACTTGAACCTGGATCAGACAAGGATTGGCAGCCCAATGTTATCCAGGTTTATTTGCTCAACGTTCTAAAACTTAAGCTTTTAATGTTAGCTAACTTTCTAAGCCAGTGCGTCATTCTCAAAGGAAGAGGCACCGAATCGGTCATTCAACATTTCAGTTGTCTTGTTTTGTCCCCTATTTAGAGTTGCTTTAAAACAAAACCATATTTCCTTCCTAGTTGATTCTGTAGAAACCTACCTCCATGAATTGCAAATACTAGTGTAACTGTTGTTAGGATTACGAATTTTTTCATCTTGACCGCAGGATATTTAGGAAACAAATGCAATTTTTTTTTTTGTTTTTTTGTTTTTTTTTTTGTTGAATATGTACTAGGATTTTAGGATTTTGTTGAGTCAATGTTATGTGCAGATGAAAATTTCTTTCCCTGGATTGATATTTGCGCAATACAAATCAATAAATCAATAAAATTAACACGGAATTTATATCAACCACGCCTGAGTAACAGCCTAGGAAGCTTGAAAGCTCTTGTTATGCGTGCCAAATGAAGTAGCAGCTGCGGGTTTTAGAATTAACTAATCAGGTGGAAACTATGTGAAACACTGCATAAATATCTATCCAGTTGCCTCTGCCAAAAAAAAAAAACAGTGTTTTGATCACTAACTGGCCAAAAGAATAAAACAAAACAAACTCAAACTGATGTTTACCAGTAGAGCGCTATGTAAATAAATGCCAAATCACTGCAAGACTGAGTAGCTCTCAATTTTTAAGCATGCGCAGGGAGCAAAATTAGTGTGTAGGACAAACAGGTTAACCTGACAACTCGATTTTTACCTTTCACCTTCTGTCGTTCCCTCCTCTTTCGTTTTCCTTTTAAACCTCACTCATGTGGGTATCTTTAAACCGATATATTCAGTTACCCTGCACAAGCTGTTTACGAACTTCGAATATGGTGACTTGCAAAAATAAAGCGAAATTCGCCGATTTCTTTTATTTTTGCGAACATTCGATGAAAGCTCACCACCAAATTTCGTTCAAGCGGCAGCGAATTTCAAATTTCGCTGTCATCTTGGCAAAATTTCGCATTCCAAAGAAGCGAAATTTCGCCAGAGCGAAAATTCGCTTCCCCCTCTTTTGCTTTTCTTCTGAATAGCATTCATGTGGGTTAAATGGTTTAAAAGATGTTGTTTCCCTGCACACGTTGTTTTCGAAGGTTGAAACGGATACATCACAAGTGCTGCAAGGGAATTGGTTACACACGGTCAATCACGGGTGAATGTGTTGTAGCCTAAAAAGGTTGACCTTTTGCCAAGGCGATAAAACAGCCAAAGCAATAAAATAATCCCATACAAAATTAAAAGGCTCGTTAAAGCACTGAAAATCTGGGCAGACAGGGAAGAACCACTTGTAGAAGCAAATTGCTGAATAAATTGTTGCGGGTTTTTAAATTTATATCTTCTGAAAGACAATTAGAAGAGGAGTACAACGGTAAAAACTGTTTCTCGCTACGACGCGTAGAAGTCGAGTTATGGGACTTGATATATTTTAGTGCGCCCTCCGAACCATACTAATAACATAAACCTTTTATAATTGCTCAAACGTTTTCTTTTTAAATTTGCGTTTTTTGACTCAAAAACGCTAATTATAGGCAAAACAAATAAAGATCACGTGACATTTTAATGTCGTAACAAAACTGTTTCTTGTTATTTGTGCAGTTAGGAATTTCCTTTCTCAAATTTTCTTTTTCCTTTAGCTTTCAACAATAAAGACGTGTTATGTTTATATTAAATAGCAATCATCATGGTAACACGACAATAAAACGTTTAAATTTCGACTTATTTTACAAGGGGTACCCCATTTTTGTAGTACGAATTATTCAAATTCAAAATGTCATATCTCAGCTCATATTTGAGATACTGAAAATTTTGCTTTTCAACTTTCAACTCCCCTTGAATGGCTCTTTCAAAATTGAATAATTATTCTTAAGTTTAAGGTTTACGTATGAATGACGTCAGCAATAGTGACGTCATATTTTGACATTTTGATGCCAAAATATATTCCAATTTGCTTGGTTCAATATTGCGAACTTTCCGGCCAAGTTTGATCAGGAAAGAGTTAGAGTCAACAAAGTTATTGTAAATTAACCATAATTTAGGACACTTAAGCCTCGGAAGTACATTAAAATTCACACCCCCATCGTGGTACAAGGAGGGGGGTGGGGGCGTTGAAGGAACCCCTCCTAAGAGTTTTTGATATGTTGTAGTGTTTCGAAACGATTTTGCCTTCAGTGGAAAGCCTTTGATCTTCGCAACAAGATGAGGTATATTTTATGGGTGGTGACACTGCCGAAGGTCTTCGACGTCACTAATTATAGTCGCCATCTTGGCCGCTAGCTTGGATTTTTCCAAGAATAAGAAATCAGGTTAAAATCGAAAGAAATGGTATTTTTTTGTGCTTGATATGTAAAATAACACATAACTAAGTATTTTGCATCATTTTACTGACAATCTTTACTTTTATTGTTTAAAGTTGAGAAAACATGCATTTTCACTCAAAAATGGCTTGACCACCTACTAATTATGACGTCATATCTCGTAACCATTGTAACTGACCATCACTAAATGTCTCAAAATGTGTGCGAGGGATAAACAAACAGATACTGAAAACGTCAGGTTCTGATGCTGTACGTCTAGGAAAAAAAACTTAGAAAAACCTCTGAGGGTAGGTTATGGTCAATTTGGGGGAGGTTTGGCCCCGGCGTGACGAGGTAAGTAAAATCCAGTGACAGTAGTCACTATTCACAATGATTCAAATGTAAATGGTTTCATAAACTTATACTGTTTCATCTCATTTGTAACTCTTGCCCTCTGTTCCGTCGACCACACAACGGAATGTCTGGTTTTAGATGGCTGAGTATACAATAGCTTTGAAGCTGCATCTATGTACTCTTCGTCACTTGCTACCCCCAGAAAACTGCAAAGTTTTCGCAAATTTTCTTGAGGATTTGTAATAATTTCGTGGCTGTAGATGTCTATAACTTCAAAGTCCTCATGGTGGTGCAGTTTTTGAGCTGATTCTATGAGTTTAAAATGGCTTGTTATAACCGAGTCCAATAAGATGGAATCATTCACCTGCAAGACAAAAATATAGTCCCTAAGTAGCAGCGAATTGTATATAGACACATAACCATAGGCAATAAAGTGCATTTAAGCTAAAATGATTAACGACCTGAAACTTAACATCGCTACTTAGTTGACTTGTCAGGTATACCATAATTCCATCAAGTGACTGCACACAACTCACTTTGACTCGAAGACCACTGGCACTGGTTGTCGGAGACGCCAATTACCGTCGGTATCAGGCAGGAGTGATTATTAGGGAGCTTAAGAAAGAAAGACGGCGACGGTTACGAAAACGTCTCTTAAAAAGTGAATTCGCGCTGCTTCAGACTTTACCGCGCACACTGCATTTTCTGTCGTTCAATTCGTCAAAAGTTGGCAATTTTTTCTGGAGTTGAATTCTAAAAGACTGTATCGAAGTTTAGAAAAAGAAAAAGAAAGGCGTTGTTTTGTGTTAGTGTCCTCCACAAAACGTGAAAGTAGGCATTTTGATGTAGTAGTCGTGCAGCGACGGCAAAGAAATGTATAAAAAGAGTGATGCACGTGCAGAGTTGTTGTTTTGTTAATCTAAATGGTTTTTTTGCCGTTCTCGTAGGAACAGCAAAGAAATGTACAAAAAAGAGTAATGCATGTGCTTATTAAAATAAGCAAACCAACAACACTGGTAAGGTGAAAAACCTTACATTGCTTTTTGACGTTCTCGTTGCCGTGGCCGTCTTCGGATCTTAAGGTCTCTATTGTACAAGTGTATGTTATTTATTATAATAACTTACTTTGAAACTTCCTCCACGAGCACTATCCCTGGTATGCAGTTGTCTGAGTACCTTTGTTGCGATGTTGTCAAATGGATTCCTAATAACGTGAATGAATTTCAACGGGATTTTAAGAGTCCTCTGAATTTCCTCCAGAACATGAAAGTTTTCGGATTTGAATAAAAGATGGCTTGTTCCAGTTCCCTTTTTGTCCCCGATAACCTTTGAAGTACACACACACAAAATAAAACAAAAAGTAAATTTGAACTACTTGAAAATGTAAGTATTAAAAGGTAACCAGTTTTTTGCTTTAAACTTGTGATTCGATGCAAAAATACGTTTTATTAAAAGTTTGAGGGCTGTTACGGGCGATAAAATGAAAGGTAATTAGCAGCTCCTTTTTCTACAAGAGTGTTATTTCAATCTGTACTTCTTGTGCAATTGTTTACTCTTCCTCCGCCAGCTTAGTTACTCTCTGTTGCAAAACAAAGTCATGTTTCATTTTGATGAATGTCAATGTCTTTGAAAAATGAATATTTTGATTCCAGCATTCACCTTATCAAAAGTAGGTAGTTAGGCATTACGTCCATCGTAAAGCGCCCGCACGTACAATGTAGGAGATTGTGGGCGAAAGCGTCTGGCAGAGTAAAAAATAATAAGCAATTTGCAGACCGTAAACCATTTCTGACCCTGGTTGTTAACAGCTCGTTGTGCATTTGGAAAAACTTAGCGTTGGATAGTTTCTGAAGATCGTTTAACTGTCACTTGTTACTCTCGATCTCCACCACTATAAAATGATGGCCCCTCTTATTTAAATATGTAGCCATCGTTTTTTGCTTCAGAAAGTGGTCTGTGTGCTGTCACTCAATTACCTTTAGTTTTTCTTTGAACTTTCCTTGCCACTGACCAGGTACATGATAAGAATAACCGTGGAGGCAGTTAGAGGCTCGATTACCAAACATTGCTTGTTCCCTTGAAAGTGCATGAAGGTCAAAAAACAGTCGATTCTTCAGCATTTCGCTGTCACCTTTGCTTTTGTTTTTGTAATAATTCCAATTACTTAGCACTCTAAATTCGTGTGGGATCATAATTTCGGGATGTGCATCTAAGATGGCACCAACCAAGCTATGGCCGCTGCGCGCGCAGCCGATAAACAGTACAAATGTTTCGACGCCTCTGTATAACGTTTTGAGCTCCTGTTCAAGAACTGTTCCAGGTTTCTTTGCTAAAAATGGAAGTTTAGATAGAAAAAGAATAGAGACTAAATAATAATAAAAATCAAAAGGAACCTAAAGTGGAAGGTTGATAAAAGATCTTTTTCCATCCTCAAAGATCCGTTGGAAACAATTATTGGATGAGGTTTTTGTGATATCCAGAATAATAAGGTCAAGGTAACACTTACTGCGACCTTGATTATTCGTGATATCACAAAAACCGAATCTAATAATTATTTCACCTTTCATTCCTTTGAAGAAAATAACGACAAACACACCATTGCACGAAACACAGTTCGATATTGCCCTTGGAAAACATGCATTGCGTGCGGAACCTACGGATAAGTGAGTAACTAGTGCTAGTAGATAACTAACCAATCTGTACGTTGCGCTACTTTCCAAAATTAACTGTAGGTTCTTAGCCAGTGAGAAGACGACCAATATAGGGAAATGAACGATGGTCGTTCATGCCATCGTCATCGTCATCATCGTTTTATACCAACACTACTATCATGATAATCGCCATAATCGTTATCTTAATTTTCTTGAGTGAAATCATCGACGTTAGCATCATCGCAGACGTCACTGTCTACTTAGGTAAAAAACAAAACAAAACAAAAACAAAAGAACAAAAAAAAAACAAACAAAACTGGAAAGAAAACACACACACACATGTATTTATACCAACCTCGAGTTTTAGAAGGGCTGTGTTGCCATACATTTTCGGATTGGAAGTAAAGTTTGTTAATTAGCAACAAAAATATTGACAGGACAAGTAAGGCCAGTGTGATCCCTTCGAGGTTTCGTGAAGACTTCATAACCATGCAATCATATGTCAGGCGAACATGTAACTATCCTGCAAACACAAGTAATTACCTGTACGTTCAACAAGATGGAAGCAGTTAAGTACTACAAGTATCCCACTCGTTTGTATTGAATAGACGTCTATGAGAAAATTGTATTAAAGAGGCTCGATTAGTTGCACAGAGTTTGCCAAGTCGGCAAATGTCATTTTAAGTTTCAAGCCTCGGAACAAACTTTTCTTCAATTCTTCCTAAAAAGGCTCAAATAGCGTACTACAAAATGAATTATAGTACAATTCTACAATCACCTCTCATTTTGTTCGCACGCGAAATAAGCATATTGAAACTCTAAAAGATGTCCTGCCGAAATTTCAGGATCATTACCCGCGACCCCAGTAATTGCGCCCAATAAAAAACAAACAAACAAACAAACAAATTTAAAACAAAAACAAAAAACAATTAAAGTTGACCATCACACATCCGGCGTCGGAAATTAGCGGTAATTGAATGATTTGTTATTCACTTGAATTTCATACTCCTCCAGAACTGTGATGCATAGCCAATATTATTTCACTTTAAGATGAATGGCCAATCGCTTCCCTTTGCCATGCCAAAAGAGAATAATAACAATACATCATCCATGGCAGTCTCTACAGTGGACATTTAAATCTATTCCACCTTCGGATTTTCTCCGAGGAAACATAAAACTCCATTAGAATTTAGATTAAGCGTTCTGGGAGTCTTTCCGAACAACTTTAAATCATTTAGTGAATTCAATGATCTTATTTCGTCCCTACTAACAGAGCGCAGCTTGACAGTTCGTTCCGTAAACTAAGCAGATAAGCCACAATTCCTTGATTCGCTCTGATCAAAAGCATAAATCTTAAAACGTAAACTTTGCCCGAATTTATAAGCCACGATTGCGCTACACAAATTTCATTCTTACTTTCCAATAATGCTTGTTTAATTTATAGCAAAGCTCTAATGTATAATAAAAAGGTTGGACGTGAGTTACCTTAACATAATAATGGAACTGTAATTAATACACTAATGAGACAAAAAGAATATGCATCTATCTCCGACTAACTTTATACTTATGGATCTCCAGATGCAATCCGATGTACATACCTCAGTGGTGTGGCAGATAGATGAAACACAAATACAAATTGCTTACCAGTCATTCTAAGTTTTAATGCAAAAGAAAGTTTTTTTTTATGTTGTTTGTGTCTTGTTTTATCTAAAGAAAGAAAAGGATACCCTTTCTGTTCGTATAGTGTTTCAGTTCACTTTAAAAACGACCTAGCCGTCAAAAGGATAAACTAGAAGTTAATCAATCATTTGTTCACTTCACCTCAAAACCTCAATTGACAATCTTAAGTTAAACTCTTGATAGTCGCACAGTTCACAGTTGGGAAGGTGCTGCTTGTCGGTGAAGGCCTGATGAGTGAATTCAGTTTTCCCTTTGTAATGTCATGTTGAGTACTAAGATCTCCTTAGTGACGAATAGTGTCTTCGAAAAACTCTAGTCTAGAGAACTGTGGCACACAGTGACAAAAACACCACTGCACTATTAGTCTTAATTTAATTCCAACTATTCAGTGCAAACTACAATAAAAATGTAAATTTTTTGTTGTTGTTGATTGCAAGAGTAGGACAATCGATCGTATATTGCGAATTATTCTTTAAATTTTTATTCCAGAATACGGACAATAATCAAATGTTAATAGAAGTCTTTGTTCAGAGACGTGCATTCCTGAAGTGCGTATGGCAACCCAACCACGTTGCTTAGCGGACTATGTGTTCTCGAAGTCTTTCCTCCGGCTAAATGAACATCTTATTTTTTTGCTTTTTCAAGAAGTACTAAATTGTCTCACTTAAGTAGCCTGCTTTGCTTGGAGGATTATAGTGTACCTAGGGAGTGGGGAGAAGCACTCCTAGAATGAAGCAGATCCTGTCATCCCTCCAGCTTTGTAGGCCCTTATTAAAGACGCTTGTTAATAGCATTGTCTGATAAAACCAAGTCGACAAAAATTCGCTAAGTCTTTTCAGAAATTCAGTTTCGAGAACGCTAACTTATGTCATATGAAGGCGAAGTTTTATGGTGTGACTATTCAAACAAAACTGTCCTCTGAAGTATGTTTAAGTGGTTCCGGTTGTCACAAGGAAAGCGTCAGTGGCCTCTTAAGAAATGAAATTCCCAAGAACTATCAAAGAAAAATCCTCTTGAAATAACCGCTCGTTTAGAGGCCGATTGAAATAACGTAAGGGTGGCCCTGAAACATTTGGTGGGGAGTGTGCAAGATTTATCGGTTCAGTTTTGTAAGTTGCTTGATCTCGTTTTATTTTATCTTTTGATATATTCTCCTTCGTTAATTTGAATGCTATTAAAACAATTGATCTTTTTTAAAAAGGTTTACTTTATTTATCATTTCTGCGCTTGACATTGAGAGAAAATAGACCGAAAAAAGGTCCATCACTCAATTTCCACTAAGCCAGACGTTTATAATTACACCTCCATTTGAAGAGGGCTCTAGTTTATTTATCTTTGAGATAAATAACAATCATCATCATTAGCATCATGTCTCGTCGCTCCAGTATGTGTATAAGTCCTCAGATAAATAACAATAGAGAAACGTTCAAAACTAAAACTCAAAAAAATTGCCTATTAGAGTCAGTGAATATCACCATGCCAGTGTGCAAGGGTCACTACGCCGACTAATATGCAGACTTCTCGTAGTTTGGTACAATTTTCTTTCCCCACAAACAGGTGAAGATAGTTGGATCATAGGCACCATCTGCGCAGCATTTGAGTACAGCGCCATAAGGTCTTGGGTTGAGCTTTGATCCGCAGCAAATGCCTGTATAGGGATCGTAAGGCACACCAGCACAGAATTTATAAATCTGGTTGTGGCTACAGAAATGCGTCTTGGAGTTGTATGGCGAATGGCCACAGCATGCTGAATCTTTGCCACCAACACGTAGCTGCACTGATCCGTTGCAACACAAGGCATTGGCAGGGTTGTAAGATTTTAAGCCACCACATAATGAGGTGACAGTGGAGTTGTTGCAGAAATATTTGGTGGAGTCATAGCTTTCCTTGCCACAGCACTTTGCGTTTTGTCCCCCTTGTTTTGGAACCAATGTGTTAGCACAACACTTCTCGCTATTCAAGTCGTACAGTTTGCCATTACACAGTGGTACTATCTTTCCACCGGTGCAGAAGAATTTTTGGCTGGCATAAGCGTTCTTGCCGCAACATTCTGTACGCACTCCCCCGTAAAGGGGATTTAGCTTGTTGTCGCAGCAGGTGAATTTGGTGATATTGTACCTGTTCTTGTTGCACAGGTTGTAAATCTTGCCTTGCTCGCAGAAGTAGTAACGGGAATCGTAGCTTTTTGTTGCACAGCACTTTGCAAATTGCTCTCCATCTCTGGTTACCGGCTTTTTTCCACAGCAGATGAAGGATACAGGATTGTAATCAAGTCCACCACAACGCGGATGTATCTTGCCACCGTTGCAGAAAGACTTGGAATTATCATAGCCTTGGGTCAAGCAGCACTGGGCGTGAAGGCCGCCTTTCCGGGGCTGGACTGTTCCATCACAGCACATGTGTGATGCATGTACGTAAGGGGCGCCACCGCATTTAGGAATTATCTTTCCGCTGTAACAGAAGTGAGAGCCGGAATCGTAGCTTTCCTTCAAGCAGCACTTTGAGTTAATTCCTCCTTTCTTTAGAACCACGATGCCATTACAGCACTGCGAATCATCTGGCGTATACGAAAGTGCACCACATTTCTGGTAAATCTTGGCGCCGTAGCAGAATTGAGTGTTGCCGTTGTAAAGGTTGCTGGAGCAGCACTTTGCATATGATAAGGGTACGACACCGTAGGCAGCCAGTTTACCAGCACAGCAAGTAGATTTGACAGGATTATAGGGAAGACCGCCACACAGATGAACCACTGCTTTGTTATGACAGAAGAAATAACGGCTGTAAAATAAAGAGAGACCAGTGAGTAAAGAATATTCAGTATAATTCAGATTCTCTAAGACCGACGCTGTAGGCCGCATGTGGTTAACGGTTCGCATTTTTGCATTGTAACTGCAGATAATATAGATGACCATCATAATAATATTATGATAGCATGAATGAAAAGATGGACGAGAACACACAATAAAAAATGGTCCAGCAAAACATGAAGACGAGAAATCTGGACAGTAAATAAAGCACATCGCTCTAAGAGGCCATTTATCAACATGCCTGAAATGGCTCAAACCAATTACGTTATTAGATAGCATGATTCCTCTACTCTGGAGATCGGAACTTCCGTGTCTGTGGAATGGTTACGGTTTCTGATGAAGGAAACGATAACACGTATTTAGACTCGGCTTGCTATTTACCTGTCATAGCTCTTTTGACCGCAGCATCTCGTGTTGTTCCCTCCATGACGTAATACCAGTGTTTTATCACAACATACAAATGAGGCAGGATCGTAGCTTTTATATTGACACTTCTTATAGATTGATCCCCCATAGCAGAACGAGGTTTGTGAGTTATAAGCCAGATAGCCGCAGCACTGGGAACTAGGACCATAACTTTGAATGATTTTGCCACCACAGCATAGTTGGCTAGAAAACAGAAATAGAATAAAACCTTGAAATGGCGCGTCTAGAAGATTCAAAACAATTAACAATTATCTAAATGCTACAAGTTTTGAACGAACTCTGCATGGCTCCAGTTCGAGGTCCAGAGCCCTGGAGCCTAGAGGTCTCGTACTTCTTTCTGAACCAAAAAGGGGTAACAATGATTAAAGAAGTCTTGACAAAGACCTGCACTTAACCATTTCTTCTGATTGCCTATTGAACAATCTATAGACTCCGGTTTGCTTATGCCTAGATATGGTCTTTTTTTGGTCGTTTTTTTTATCTTGGAAACCTACTTCAGTCGAACCTCCACTACCGGTCACCTCTCCTCAAAAGCCTCTTTTTTGCTGGACAGTCCATATATTGAATCTTGTTTAAACCTCTCTACAATGGCCACTTTCTTCTGTCCCCAAGGTGGCCGTTGTGGGCAGGAAGCAGTAAAATAGGGAAAAAGTCAATCATTTATCAATAGAGGCTAACGAAACATGCATGCACCAACCATAGAACATGGTTCAGAAGTTTTATCTACACCTTTTTTGGTTTTAATATAAATTATTCTTACCTTGCAGGATTGTATACTTTTCCAGTGCATTTGTGTATAACTGATTTGTTATTGTGGCAGAAGTAGTCATTGGAATCATAGTTCACTGATCCACAGCAGCGTGAATTCTTACCGCCAACCAAATGTAAGACCTTATTGTTACAGCACGACTGACTGTGAGGATCATAAGACTGACCCCCACATTTGTCGTAAACAACATCGCGGTAACAGAAATAGTAGTGTGTGCTGTAGACTTTCTTAGCGCAACAGCTGGCGAACTTGAGGGGAACATTACCAAGTGGAATAGAACTGCCAGAACAGCAAAGATCCCCTAGTGGGTTGTATGAGCTGTGGGCGCAAAGAGCGTAGAGTCTATTGTTTTTGCAGAAGAACTTGTCGGGGTGATAACTCTTCTGTCCACAGCAGCGTGAGTTGGAACCAGCTCGCTCCACAAGGAGTGAGGTACAACACTGATGAGTGTCCGGGTTGTACGAGTGCTTTTGACACCGGCCGTAGATGGTGTTATTGTAGCAGAAGTTCACAAGGGAGTTGTACGAAACCTTACCACAGCACTTGGAGTTGAGCCCTCCAACGCGTTTCTGTTGTGTCCCAAGACAACAGAGAGTGTTTTTTGGGTCGTAGATCTTTCCACCACAGAGGGAGTAAACGATGGACTTGAGGCAGAAATACTTGGTATCATCGTAGCTCAGTTTTCCGCAACATTTGGCATTTCTTCCCCCGACACGTGACGTAACGTATCCGTTGCAGCACATGAAACTGTAAGGATTGTATTCTGTCTTACTGCAGCGCGCGTACACTTTACCAGAATGACAGAAATGGGTCAATGAGTTGTAGCTATACCTCGAGCAGCATCGAGCAGCAGCTCCACCCAGCCGGGATACCAAATAGTTGTTACAGCAGAGTTGAGTAGTGGGATTGTAGTCGCTGGCTTTGCACTTTTGGTAAACGTGGTTACCGTGGCAAAAGAAGGACGCAGAATTGTAGCTATATGCCCCACAACACTTCGCGTTGTAGCCACCCACTCGAGGAATGACCTTAGCCAGGCAGCAATGTTGACGGATGGGGTTATAAGATCTTTTACCGCACAGGCTAGTCAAGAAAAAGAGTTTATTAGTTTCTTCAGTGGTCCAAACACAGATTTTAGAATATACACGAGTGTCACAGCTAAAACCGGGTAATAACAATTGATAGAATAAGACAATAGAAGGGTCGAGAAATTATATCATTGTAGAAACCAATTTTCCGGTTTACTACAGTTTTCCCACATAAATGGTCAGTGAATGGTAGGTATACCATGGTATTGTAAGTCGACCTCTTTTAATATTAATACTTTCTTTCACGAAAAAATATGTTTACTTTTCTTATTCAACCAGTATCAACCAGTAATTCATTCGAAACCATGTCAGTGGGATTGCCGTTTTTGGCATATGCTTAGACTCAGTCAATTGCGACTGGTCCGTGCGATCTTAAAGTTAAAAAAAGCACTGATTATGTTTTCAAAGGAATCAGGACTGAATAAGCTTATCAAGGGCTTACCTGTAGATTTTTTTACCATAGCAAAACGACGACAATCGACTATAGCACTTGGTAGCACAACAACTTGCGTATTTGCCTCCGATTCGTTTAACAACGACGCCATGACAACAGATGTCGCTGACGGGGCTATAACTCTTCTTCCCACATAAAGGAATGATTTTACCACCATGACAGAAATATCGCTTTGAGTCATAGCTCCTGCCCAGACAGCATGCGGTGTAACTTCCGCCGACTTTTTGAGCAACGTGGTTTGCGCAGCAAAGGTATTTTGTAGGGTCATAAGGGGACTTACCGCACTTTTTGTACACCTTACTGTTGAAACAAAACTGGGAGCGTGAATCATACACACTGCTATAGCAACAGCCTGCATAGTTACCGTAGCCACTGCGAGAAATAACCGCATTGTTACAACAGAAGGATTTCTGGAGGTTGTATGGGTTTCCTCCGCACTTTTTGTAGATTTTATTTCCGTAGCAGAAGTAGGAGCGTGAATCGTAGCTCTTAATTCCACAGCACTTGCCCTGCTTCGCTCCGTATTGAGGACACACCATTCCACCGCAACACATGAAGTGATCGGGATTGTAAACATGTTTGTTGCATTTGGGGATAATGACACCCTTATGACAGAAGCTTCCGGAAGAGTCGTAAGCTTTAGTGGCACAACACCGAGCGTATAGTCGTCCTGGCCGAGAGTAAAAGTTGTTTTGGCAGCATATGTATTGTTGGGGATTGTAGGCTTTTTTGTGACAAAGAGGGTAGATGTAGCTACTATGGCAGAAGTACCTGTTGATAATGAAGAGTAAATGTTAGATAAAATTTTGTTTCTTGAGGAAAAAATATTATCACTATTACAGTCAACTCGCTTTCTAACGGACACTGTTGTGACCTTGAGTTCGTGTCCTCAAAAGCGAGAATCCGTAATAACGGGAGTTTATTCAGTCAAACATCTGTAAAATATGTTTGTCTGGGACTTAGTTGCTGTCCGTATTATCGGGGTGTTCGCAAGGCGACAGTTAGCTGTAGTAGTCATGCGTAAAAACGTTTCTTAAAAACATTTAAGAAATTTTTAAAAAAATTAAAAAATATACGACGTTCCGACTTTCCCGGATGTCATTATCAAGTAAAAAAATATACAGTATGAAAGTTCTATAAATACGAGAAAAACAATAATTCATTAAAAAGAAACGTGACATATAAAAATATGGTATAAGTTAAACAAAGACTTTAACACTACATGATGGAGTCACTATGAGTGCTAAGGCTAGGCCTCAGTTCTTTGATGAATAACATACTTTCTATTTTGCATTTTCACAAGTTGGGGGGAGGGGGAGGGTGTGACTAGTTATTTGACTTAGGGATGATGAGGATAGGTGGACAATCGGCTATAGCCCCTTAAGAAGAAACAAAATGCGAAAACCGCGGTGATAAACATATATGATGCAGACGGCCAAAATAAAAACAAGAGTATCTATCAGCTCCTTCCCCCAGGCCCCGCCTTCCCTAACCCAGAGTTGGACTGCATTGAAAAAAGTCATTAAGAATTCAAACGAAATATCCCAAAATACTACACTGACAGGATTCGCACTTACTTTCCGCCATCGTAGCTCCTGTCTTTACAGCATTTTGAGAGCTGCCCACCATCACGAGGCCTGATTTTGTCTTGGCAACATATAAAGGAGCTGGGATTGTAAGGGCTTTTTTGGCACTTTCCATACACCTTTTTGTCATGGCAAAAGTATTTTCCACTGTCGTAACTTTTCGTGCTACAACAAGTGCTGTAGTGTCCACCAACTCGCAGATTTATTTTCCCAGCGCAGCACTGATGAGTGGTTGGGTTGTACTTGCTTTTTCCGCAAAAGGCGTAGATGAGCCGGTTATAACAGAAGAAAAAGCGAGAGTCGTACGTTTGCAAGCCACAGCATTGTGCATGGCTGCCGCCAATGCGTCTGACCACGTGACCATCACAGCACTTAAAGTAGAAATCTAGAAACAGAAACAGAAGCAAAAATTCCTTAAAAGAACGGCACACGGTAAGTCATTTTTGAGCAACACGCTACTCTTTCTACTCGAGAAAGATTGTTACATCTCTTTGACACGTTTTCCACTCATTCGTGACACTGGTTGATTCAATATAAAAGGTACAATAATGTTATCCTCCTGAAGGGCAGTTTTTAACATTAAAAAATGCACTACGTTCACACGGACTCGTCTATTATATATGGACTATTATTTTAATTCAGGTTGATTTAAAATAATAGTCTTAAGTTGTTTCTTCCGGCGAATCTATTTCGATCTTCTTTTCTTTTCCTTTCTCTTTTATAGCCCGTTTTCTTGCCCATTTTTGCGTCTCTCTTTCGCATTGGCTCACTACCTTTCCAGGAAAGGGACCAATATCATCTCGGCAAGGAGTAGTAGGTGATTACCAATATTGGCAATAGATGTTCGGACTGGCCTGAATTCGCAAAACTGAATACGCTGCTTACTATCTTTAGTTAGTAGTTTAAAATGAAAGCTAAAATGAAAAAAACAAAAAACAAAACAAAAACAAAAGACCAAAGCGGTTATCAAGGGTTTAAAAGAAAATAGAAGATGCACTTTGTCTTGTTATTGTCAGTTATGTAGTTCAAGAAATTTTTTTTCTTTTGTTTAAATGGTCGTTATGACATTACTAATTTGTTCCACACTTTTTATATTGGTTTTGGGCACATGAACAATTAAGAAAACTACAACAACAACAAAATGTGATATAGATTAAATCTGAATGGATGTAAAATAAACGAGACTTCTTGATAAAAAAAAAACGTTTTCCATGTAAGCCTTGGGATAGAGTACTAAAGTTTTTTTTTTAAAAGTAGCTGTTACAATAGCTAGGACATTCACTTTTTATACATGTTAGCTTTGAAAATTAAATTTTATCATGTAATTGTGTGCTTTAAAGGAAATTGCGAAGAACACCTATTGACTGCAACTGTCTACGTTTATTATATTTCAAACCTAACTGATTATTTTGCAACTCCCCCGCCTCCTAGCCCATTACCCACTAGCCCACTCTCCCGCTCCCCCTAGCCCACTCCCCCGTTTTATGGAGGGGGTTTAACACAGCTGATCAATATTAAAAGCTTCAATAGCAAAAAAGAATACTTGACTTAATCTCGTAATATAGCATACTGAGCCTATATTAGGTAGATTGTAACGTGAGCAACAACTGGCTACCATTTTCCAACAGCTAACAATGCATTATTTTCATACGATATTATTATCTCATTAAATTGGGGCTGACGGTAGCTTTCTGGCTAAATAATCTCAAACAGTAAAAAGTTTTTGTCATTTGAGAAAGGTATAATCTATTTTCTTTTCTTTTACCATATTAAGCAGTACCATGACATGTCATGTTCCTTTCAAACAATATCCGTGTTACATTTTATTCCACAGACGCTATAATATTTTTAGATCAGCCTCTCTTAAATCTCTTAAATCTCAGATCAGCCTCTCTGAATTCCATATAAAATTAATGCAACTTATGTTTGTCAGCAAAGTTAATCTGAACAATTTCCCGCAGGGATTGTAACGATTTCAGAAGTCTTTAGTGTGTCTTTAAGTATAAAGATATGAGATTGATCATTTAGTCAGATGATCGATATCATACGATCGCCGTACAGTTGAGTGCGGTCGGTTGTAACATTTTTTTTTATCAGTATCCTTATAATTGAAAAAATCGCTTACGGGACGTTCTTAAATAACGTTCAGGCATTTTGGAAATAAACCAGTTGCACTGACTTCGTGCGGATAAAAAAAGAAGAAGTGAACAAGAAGGTTAAAGATAGTAAACTTAATACCTCTGAGGAAGAAGAAAAAAGACATTGAAATTCTTTTTTGCTAAGTTCTACATCGAACATTTAGTTCCCTGTGTTCTGTTTTCCTTAAACACAAAAATGGGTAGGCTTCGCTTCTAGCGCTATCGTAATGTCTTCCCTGAATCGCAAATTAACAAACTTTGCGTTAAAATTTGGAGGAAACACTTTTCTCTAAAATGTTCTTACTTTTTAACTTTTACGCTTACAAAGTAAGTGCAATTTAACGTACATACGTTACAAAATTATTCCCACTAATTTTACCCGCGATATACTAATTAAAGCTTACGTAGAATTTAGAAAAAAAAATTAACACACTGCAAAATTCAATGACTGCTGTACAGAAGATAAAACATGAGCAATAAAATTCATTAGAATTACCTAAATTTCTGTATTTACTCAAAAGCTGGCTCCCTTTCGCTCCTGATGCATCTCTAATGCCAAGGAAGAAGCATATGGAAATCGTAAGCACACAAATCGACCTCATTCTGTTTGAATTGGGAAGTGGATGAATGTTTTTTCAACAGTCTGTAACATATTTATACCTTTACGGGACACTATCTACGTGGAGACACTTGAGTGCTCCAAAACTGCCTCTTAGGTTAAACAAAAGCCCTAGAAAATGGACGTAATAACCTGATGCAAAATTAGTAGCACAAATTGCTAATTATCAGGGACAATCCGTTAGCTGCATTATTTCTTATTGTTTAAGCTAAGAGTGACTCTATGCTCAATATAACAAAGCAACAAAAACCAACATTTTACTTTTAAGCGTGATTCAACGAAAAAAGGAAAATCTTTAAAAAGCCTATATCGAACATAGGGGTGAGAAGGAAATGAGTAAGCCTTTTTCGCGGCTGTAAATATTCTTAAAAGACTGACGTTTTTAGGTTCTAGAACGTTAACTCGAGGGTACGTCTCATAAGTGTAATAACCTTTGTCTCAAACGCGCCCATAACACAAAGGAGATCTCAAGGAGAAGGAATACAGAGGGGGTGGGGTTGATTTTTTCACCTTTTTTGGTATCTTGCCTATCCAGTCCGTGTATTTTTAACGCTTTTCTACTATGCTGGGAGAGAAACGAGAAAGCGCAAAAATCAACATTCAATTTTTAAGATATTGCATAATTTGACACATTTTTCAAAGTTTGTTTCAAGTTTTTTTTCTTTGCGTCGTCGTGTGGGATGCAAAGTGGTCTGACGACGTCAAAAACAAAACAAACTGCAATTTTAAGTGGAAATGCTTAGAGAAATCGCTGATTTAAAATTACATTGAAAGACTAAAGGTTCTTATGAGGAAAAAAATGAGGAAGTGGTTATGTAGGCGCACAAATATCACTGAGAAATATTTCAGTGAAAAATGAATTGACAATACTGACAGTTAAAGACGAACATGGACACACGAATGTTGTTGTTGCTATTTCTTTTTCTAAATTTAATTCAAAGACATCATATACTGGGTAGATTTTTAAGGGAGGTCAATTTAATTAGTTTTTATACAGCACTGCTAGAAATTTGGGACACTGCTAATTGGAAATGCAATGTGAATTTACATTCATAAGACAGTTAATATTGGAAAAGATAAGATGTTTATTATGACGCGAAAGTCGAACAAAACAAGCATAAGTCCCTACAGGAAGCTAACATTCCATGACCTCATAAAATGCTATGCCTTGTCTTTTTTTCCAGGCTTCAAATGCCAATATCAGTGGTAATGTCATACGGGTGTGAGTTTTCTTCCCACGAACCTTATATTTTCCACCTGAACGGCTAAATCACGCTATTTTGTGGGTGGTAAAATAACCTATCAGCAAAGTAGAAAGCAGGTCCACAACAGCAATAGCTGCCATTTATTCAACCTGCTTTATCAAATAAAGGATGTATGTATGTATGTCTTCCATGGTAACATAAACTGTGCAAGACATTGAACTACCGCGATTACCTCAGTCCCATTATAATATCATGTGTGCTCCCTGATAGAGAAAACTAACGACAGTACGGGTATATTAACTGACTTAAATGAATCTGCTTTATTTGCGTTTTATTACTGACTCAACAGTTGAAAATAACTACAACCCAGGCTAATAATAGTTTCATTAAGTCACTCTCAGCTCTTTTAATTAAGTCATTGGCAATAAAATGATCAGAGAGATTTGTTTTCTACTATGGTGTTGATAAGCGACTTAATAGCTAGTTTCCGAGAGTCAGGGTCGGCCAAGTTGGACGCGAAGTGTTTGGTTTATGTTCTCTTCACGTTTTGTCATCAAAATTTTCGGACAGGTTTAACACAGTGCTAATAAACTGTAAAAGGAAGCCGCGTTCCGTTACAATATGGATCACTAACTCTCCTGCAGCCTCCGTCAAGAGACTATAAAGGGGACAGAGAGGCCATCCCCCATATACACCCTATTTCATAGGTAATTCGTCTCGAGTTATTTTTAGAATCGGGATAAAGTTACCTCGCGCGAGGCGTGGATGTTTCGTGGAGGTTTCGCAAGACCAAACGCCGTGCAAAACATGTCGGGCGAGAGGCAATGAAAGCGTAAAAAGATCGAGAGTATTCCTGAATATTGAAGCGAAATGAGTCGGCGCTCACCTGGAAAAAAGGAATCGCTGGACTCTTTGACAACCCGTGAATCAGTTTAACTCGAAGTTGTCGTAACCTCAGTGCTTTAATAAAATGAGAAATTTCGTCGGTCTATTGAAACCGGTCGTTTGTACAATTTAGGGAGTTTGAGATCCAACAACGCGGACGACAGCTAGAACGTCAAAAAAACAATAGGTTTAATTAGCAAAACAACAAATTCGCACGTGCAACACACTTTTTTGTTCATTTCTTTCCCGTTTTTGCACGACTACGACGTGAAAATGCCTAATTTCGCGTTTTATGGAGGACGTAAATAAGCAACGACGAAATTTTATTTCTCTTTCTGAGCTTGAATATGGTCCCTTCAAATTCAGCTTTAGGAGGGTTCGCCTATAATTGACAAAGTAAGTGGGTAGGAATAATCGCTATAAAGACTGAAAAAAATAAACATCAAACCATAAATTGCTGTCTTCGAACTGTAAATTATAAATGATCCTGAGAGAATATTCAGTGTGTTAAGGATTTCCCTGCTCTACTGTTAGCTCTATACAAGAGCGGAAGGGCGATTCTTTTTTAATTTCGGTTTCGCTGACACAGCTTTCGCAGAAATCTCGCTGTAGTCGTTTTCGTCGACAAATGGAATAGCAAAATCGCTCTCCGCGTCTTCCCCCATTTTGTTCTGCGTCATTTCGTGAAGGACGCGTGGCTCTCAGCGTGGGTCACCCTCGCGGAACACATTCGAGCTATGTGATTGGCTGTTGTCTAATCCCCCTTGAGATCTGTGGTGTTAAAAATAACTCGAGACGAATCACCTATGGAATAGGGTGTATACAGCTATTTCGAGAAAGGTTGTCGGAAAAATGTGCACGCGACAATCCCGAAAGGGAATATGGGATATGATCAATACACTGTTCCTAGCGACCGTAGCTGTCGAACCTACTTTTGTTGCTTTCCTTTAGCACTCGCAAACACATTTCCATGGCCTTTCGTGCCAATTCTTTCAAATTTCTTTGAAAAAAGAGAACTCAAAACCACCCACAATGCCTTTCAGGATTGTCGCATGCACTTTTCGCGACAACCTTTCTCGAAATAGCTGTATGGGGGATGGCCTCTCTGTCCCCTTTATAGTCTCTTGGCCTCCGTAAAATAAATGAAATTAATTCTCCTCTGGTATTTAGATAGAAGAATCCGTGTTATTGAAACTTTAATCATCGTCAACTTGTTATCACCAGGAAACAGTCAAATATTTTGAGTTAGTGCTTTTAAGCACTGTAGTTAGTAGCTTCTTTAATATTCCGATAGTGAGCTGAAGAAATTGTGTGGTTAATGAGCCCTTATTTTTTCAACAGCTGCTTTGCTAAAACTAAGACTAAATCAAGTAAAAACGTTTTGCTTCATAACGAGTCAGTCAACTATAACGGCAGATTTAATTAGGCCCGTTAGTTGTTATTTCTTGAGGCGTGATTCTGTCGCGAGTGGCTGCACATCATTTGTTAGTAAAGTAAAGTAAAGATCTAGAATGTAATATCTGTGCAATAATGAATTCAACGAATGAATTTTCTTTGTGATTTGTGGTTATATAGCTCTTGTTATAACGTTTTCCTTTTCCTGTCAATATTGTTCTTTCAGATAAAACAGTTTTCAAATAAAGACCATAAAAATAAATACGTAAAATAAGGCAATAGAAATTGTTCGCTTTACAAACTGGCTCTCTTCCCTAATACCTCGAGTTTAAAAATCAAAATATCAGGTAGTAGCGGAGTTACAACAGATTTGATCATAATCTCAGGTCTGATAATTAAAGAGATAAAAAGAGGGAATTTTTTGAGGAATTGAAGGATAACAGTTATTATTTTTTTGTTAACTTTCAAATGGGTGTAAAAAGAATATCCTTGATTCTGTTTTGCCGTTGGTTAAGGGTCAGAACTGAACGGCCAGACCATTAGTGTCGTAATGTCAGAATTTCACTTTTAATCAATAGCATCCAGCAAAATCAGTCGAATCCTAAATAGTATGCGCAAAGGAGATGGTTTTTCATTACCAACTCTTTGAAAAAGCTTATTTCATTGTGGAAGTGACTGGTCAGGTCACGGTCCAGCCGGCCAGTTCTGACTTTAGGAAAGCACCCTAATACAACTATAATATATAGATTTAGCCAGGGCTATAAGCGAAGCTCTCGATAATATTTATAGTTTGTCCAAATAAAATATAAAATAGTGTAGTGCTAAGCCGGAGAACGGTGAAAAGCAACAATAAGAAAAGCAACTTGGCGCACGTGCAGCACACTGTTTTTGTACATTTCTTTGCCGTTGTTTTACACGACTACAACGTGAAGCTTCCAGAAACTTCTTAATTACTCGTTTTTTTGGGAGAAAATGTCTTACGTGTTCTCGTTCATCTGCAAAAATAGAAGTGGAATAAATTATCCTTAGGCTTTGTGGTTTCCTGTTGTCGCGCTTCATACTTCAACAGCTCAAAACAGGAAATGAAAAACACGAATAAAAGAGTTTACGAGGGGGTGAGTGACGTTGGATGTGAGTCATTCGACTTTTTAAGCAACGACAACGGAGACTGCAAAGAAATTTGACCATTAAAATCAGTCCTAGTTTTCACAGACACCTTATTTTAAAGGAGAAGTTAACAGCTGTCTCATGTTGTTTCGAATTGGTTACAACATTGTTTCAACGAACATTCTTGCCCCCCTTCAAGGGTTTCCTCTCCCCTCCAAAAAAAAAAAAAAACCGTTGTTGATTCCGCATACAAACGAAGGCATTTCAAAACTTTGCATGTGAAATATTTAATTTTCAAGAGTCTGCTTACTAAATCTTGACTTCAAGATTCTGCAAACAAAACTTTTAAATCTTAAGATTCAGCATGCCATGGGTATTTTATTTCCGTGAAGGAACTTTTACCGTATTTAACCAAAGATATAGACATGTCAAAAAGCTCTGTTGCTACTGTGCCATTAACACGAAGGATAAAGAGGAATAGATTCTGAAGTTCCAGCCTTGCCGAATATTGACGTGAATAAATAAGGACCATATCAGTATAACAGCAAGAGAAAAAAGTTACAGTGAGAGCTCATGACACCATGAACAGATTTTGAGAGGGCAATGCATGCACTTTACGTTTTTGGCTATCTCTGTTAGAAATAAATACCTTACCTTTATTGCTGGGTGTCTAGCAATATAATTGGAAATTTTACACTAAAACATCTTATAGTAATTCGGTCAGTTCAATATATTTTGAAGTTATTAAGTTGTGAAGCCGATTGACGGTTATTTCATTAAAGATCTGCCTCATCTTAATTTGAAGTTCGCGTTTGTTTCACTGATTAAGATTGGTCAGGATTGTGTGCACGAGAGTGTGTTTTCCTGTTTTGATCTTTTGATATTACTCACTCTTTACTCGCGAATATACTTTTTTTTTAACATTCCTGTTTTGGCCCTGACCTAAGTAAAAGTTTCACAGGGCGTCGCGTTTGGGAGCTAGGTTAGAGCTGTCTTTGGATTATAAGACCCGTTGATTAAGTTATTAGTGGGGTCAACTTAATAAAACGTCTACAAGTGTAGCTGTTTTTGAATCCGATAACCGTATCTACACTTGTAAATTATACTTGAAAAAGTTTATTAACTTGACCCCTGTTGGGTTAAATCACCAGCGTTTTGAGTTAATTTGTCATTCAGCTTTGTAGCTTCTTGCCGATCACAGCCTTGAAGATTTTATCAGTTCCAACCAAAAAATATATTATACATACACCGAGTTTATTGCCTTGTTTTGTGTTCTTACGATGACCATCCCTGTAACATAACCAGGTCTGACTACTGCTCAACTGCTCCTAATTAATTTCTCGGCATTTTAGTCAGTGGGAGTTCAGTAACGAGCATCGAGTAAGTATAATAGGACTGAGGTAGTCGTTAGCAGTATAAGTACAGAAGAAGAATAAAAATAGTGCAGAGGAAGACGTACTATACTCCTGGTTCTTTCTCGCTTTGTGAGCGAGTTGCACGAACAAACCCGACATTATCATCCTTTGGTTAGGTAAAATCAGAGAAATGTGCTTATACACCATCAATGAAAAGTTTTATGACTGCATCTTTCTTTAAATATAAAATTCATGTATTCAGCATTTGAGGTCAAGTATTTACATTATTGTCTTTTTGTTTTCTCAACTGGTTTACAACTCCTGGTCTTAACGCGATTTGTCAACATAATATAAATTCGAATTGGTTGATATCTATTTGCCTGTTCAAGGTGCCTTGCTAGAATCTAGATGCTTTTTTGAATTTAAATTTTATTTTTACTATTATTATTTTTTTAATAGTGTTTTTGCTGTTTCAAAGTTCTCGGCATAAAAAAAGGTTAGAAGATGTTTAAAATCTACTAAATCAAGTAAAACAGTGATTATATTTTAGCAAATCCAGGGACTTCTAATTCTAATGGGGGAAAGCGAAAACTTTCCCTTGAGTTCCCTTGACTGAGAAGACTAACGAAAATATGTTTCTGAATCAAATAATAATCGCAGAGTTGACTTTCTTCAGACGTAATTGGTCAATAACTTTCCTCAGAGCTCTTGTCATGTGCATAATTTGCCGTATATAATAGGCACTGTTTTTCACTCAATACCCTGCAATGACACTTGTGAAATACTCTGTTGTCGAAGTAATCAGCTGTGGAGGTCACGTAGTAAGTTTGTCTACCTCTCACTGTCGATTTGATGATATTTATAGTGTGATATAAAATTACCTTGAATATTGCACTGCCGGATAACGCATATTTAATGGACAAGATATGTAAGAATTTGAAACTTTATAATTTTGTCTTCAACGTAGTTAAACAAAGGAAAATAATAATTCAGGCATATATGTTGGGTAACACAAATTTGATCGTGAGGCCGTGCCTAAGATCTTTTAGCCTATTAATTAATTAAACTATTTACAAAGAAGCTCTTTTCAAACTTTCCAAACGATGTCGAAAGTTTACCATTTGTCACGGAACTTATTAAATGACATTGGTCTAATGATATCATGTAGACTTCAAAAAAAGGGTATAAAAATTATGCAATATTCGTTAAGATTCAAACATAAAACATGATATAACCAGAATTCACCACTTTGTTTTTGTTTTCTTTCTTGATTTATTCTATCACTCTTCCTGCTGTAAGGATCAGTTTCCTGTTTTAAGTTTTGAATTTTGAAAGTTTTTCACGGATTTCAAAAAAAGTCGTAAGAAGCGTTCCATGAGAACTTATAACAGATCCAAGAAAGGTGGTATCAAAGCTTGTATTTTTGTGGCAGCCACAACCTAGGGAAACTAAGAGAAGAAGAACAAAGGACAAATACTACCGATTTACACACACGCACACACTGTTTGAGGATACGGGTCTTGCAACAATCGGAGTTCGAGAACTCAGATTGGGAGTGTTGGACAAGGATGATCATCATTGGCAGAGAAGGAGTCATATCGTCGTCCGACGACGCTCGACCAACTAACTTACTTGCTCAAATTAAAAGATTTTAACGCACTATCTAACCGTCTTACAGCTCTAAAATTGTTCCAATAGCGTTTTTTAATACAGAAACAAGTTTCAACCATCAGACTTGCGTTTTCAGAGCCGCTCTTGTTTAACAATTTTGTTGTAGCTTAAAATTCCTTACTCTCTTAGTTTTTCCTTTAGTATGGTTGTATTAACGGTTTTCTGGAACAATTCATGTCGCCTAAACAACTGAAAAAGCTCCATTAATAAAATAATGCAACTTTCAACAAGTTTGTCCTCAAATTTTTACATTATAATTGTGTTCTCAAAAGAAGACGCATGCCCTGTAATTTCTTTGTAGTGGCTGTCGAAATTTATAATGATAATAATAATAACAATAATAATAATGAAGCTGTCACAATTTGATATATGTAATATCATTGCACTTTGCAATAAACTTTAATTATGTTTTCTGTCATGCAAATGTGACATACTACAGAATAACAGATGCGCTCGATGACTCAGCCAATAATGAGTTCGTTTCGAGAATCTCTTATATCCGCGTCAATTTTATCCAGAGAAACATAAAACGTACTTAAACAAGTCGGCAATGGTTTATTTTGTCAAACAGTTACAGAAGAATAACATAAACCGTCTTTTGTTAGTATCCATTTAATTCATGAATGCAGTACTGTCAGGGGAATTATCCACCCTCCTGAATTGCTATTTAATAGATATAAGCAGAAAATGCAAATGACAAGTTCTGCGGAAGATAAATTAGTTTCCGTGACCAAAATGTCTTAGACAATGACACCTCATCAGGAAAAGAGGTTAAACTAACCATTGGTTTCATAGAGCTTCCAACTTTGAAAGCCGAATAGGACAGTTATGGAATAGATCGGACAGGTGCCCAAGTAAGGCTCAAGATCAGTCGTTCTTAGCGTGATTGTTGACGAACTGACGTCTCTGTATAATTACAAATACAGCCCACTGGCTCCTGGGTGGTTTCCACTGCACCTGCTACCTGAATTAGTTATTACAATGTGGTCTTATAGTTGTGCTACATCAGAATTTTCTCGAGACTATTAGCTAAAGTCAAGCATACATTGGAAGCTAGATATCTAGGACAACTCGCTTAAGGTGAGACAAATATTGTCAATGGCATTTCAGTTAAAATTAAGTATGCGTGCAAGTCCAATATAGCTAAGAAGGTCTTTCTTTTTATGAATTCCTTTTTCGACCTTATAGAAATTTGTGTTTTATTTTAGTTGTGAGGTGGCCGAATTTTACGAAAAGAATTCCTTGCAAGTTTCTTATGTTGCGTTTCATCAGTCGAAAGTTTGTCTGGATTAAGTGTAAAGGAATTTATTATTCTATGCGCAGAAAATATAAAGAAAAATGTGTCCCAAAAGTATAACTATTTCTGTCTATGATTTTCATTAATTCGCAAATATATTTCTTCACAACTTCCAACAGTATATGCACCTGACAAATATGAAATCTTGTATAGCACAAATCTTCCATTGATCAAAATTTAAAATTCAAAAAATACCTTCATACCATGCCAGGTTGACAGTCTAAATGGCACTAAATGGTATTAATTCTAATTTCAGAAATTGACATGCAATGAAAAATCTATTAAATAACTCAATTTAGAGGTCTGTGGTTTACGCAGCCTAGCATTGACCCGAGGCTGGGACAAACAGAGAATGTAGGGTAGAAGTCGTTTAGCTAGCTGCTTTAAAGCTCGTGCATCAGTAAATATATTTGCCACGGAGATATTGGAACATATTATTCGCAATCGACATTTGACGTTACCCTTATATTCTATCTCCCACTTCTTAAAAACAGAGAAATAAGGATGTTTAAGGAAATACCGGGACGAAATGCACCTTGCCAAGGAACGCACCTCATTGCTGCATGGAATGAAAAAAAAAATGAATGAATGAAAAGACCTGCTGTATCAACAAAAAAAAAAAAGACGGGAGCTATTTTCCACAAAATGTTGACTCTTTATGTATGCAAAGGAAAATTGCCCTTGCGTGCGATGTTAGTCTAAGCTTATTGGTTTTCTTTTCCGCGACGATGCTGGCGTAGAAGGTTTGGTAAACCATATGAAGTCATGTTTTTGCACATAAAATAACATATCCTACGACTGCGAACTTTAAGTTGATATTACAAATTTTTGTACTTTTTTTTGTCATTTAATATTATTTTTGACTTGTATTGCTTCGGTTTAATTTATTTTACCCTCGCATTCCAATGTAAAAACATAAAATATCAAATAAAGTATTCACAACCATTGCACAGTCATTTGTCGAAGAGCCCGGTAATGAATGAACGCTTACTTTTGAACTCAAGATGGTATCAGAGATATAATTCCGACGTGAATGTGCAAGAGAATGAATAAATAAACGTGTATATTCTTTTGATTAACAAATTATTGTGATATTCAATTATAGACGCATCAAAATGATGCGAAAGTTCAAATTGTAATTTTTATTTTTATTTTTTACAATTATTATTTTTTTGTAAATATCGCACCTGGTACGCCAATGAAATGATAAAACGAAACTATAAGGTATAAGGTAAAGCCGAGAAAATTAGGTAAACGCTATTGCCGTATAGATAGGCGACTTAAGCGCGTTTGGACGCCTGATGTTTTCCGCCTGAAATCATAAATTATGTATACCACACAAAGTCAGTGAAAGTCGTTAATATTCAAACAAAGACCGAAGTCAGTTTCTCTCGATGCGGCAAAACGGTTCAATTTGGGCCAAAATGTGTGGATAGGTATAAAGCGGAGAAGTTATGGATACTTAAGGGTCAATTTTGATCCACTATAGAAGCCACGTTTAACGATCTCAATCCCATTTCACCTGTTTTGCTCACTAGGTTGTTGTTACCGCGCGGTGGTTAGTGGGCCATCCGCGTTTTCCCGCTGCGTCCAATTTTTTGTTTACACTTTTGGTAATTTTGCATTTTGTATGCTTTCGCAGGAACGTGGAAGTGCAAATAGAACTTGGGGCGATATAGCGGCTGTTATTTCATTGCAAAGGTAAGTTGAAGTTTAAATAAGAAGTATCACGCTCCTAGAATCTTAACAGAGGAACAAATACGTAATAAATCATTTCTTTCCTGCATGGGCACTCACTCTTTAAAACATCTCAAGCGGATATGATTTTATATTTTTAAGGTGCACTGCAGTGGAGATAATATTTATGTTTTTAGCGCCTTAGTCTTGATAACTATAGTCTCCCTTAACAACTCGTTCTGAAACCCTTGTATTTATATTTGGCTGAGAAAAAAGGAGAAGAAAATCTTTATCACCAAAACAATGCACAACAACCTATCTAAAAGACTGAAATTTTAAGCAGAAATCCTCAATGGTACAGCATGGATGTTATCTATTCGCATTCGAAAATAAAAGTTTATCATTAAAACCGGCCTAAAAATAACCATTATGAATTCGATTTCCTTCAGCTGCAAGAAGAAAGTCATTTTGCCAATACAAAAAGAAATCACACTTCCATGTTTTCAAGTACCTGAAATCTTTATCCACCATCACTAGTCAAATTGTTAAAGTGGAAGAGGTCGCCTGTGAGGTATTTTGTGTAAATAAAGTGAAGACCTGCCATTTTGATTTATTCTCGTTTGAATAAATTACTCCATTTGAAATTATATTGACAAAAAATATACGGAGCGTTTGCTTAAACAAAATTTGAATTAGGTGGAAATAACTTAGGCCGTAAAATATTGACGTTTCACTGAATACCTGGCTTGCATTTTGCGACAGTTTAGACTTTGTATGTTTTTAATCCATTAACTTCTTGTGGTTTCACTTATTGCATTGCGTACTTGTCGAGTTTCTTTTTATATATATATATTCCTTTTTTTCGCACTGCTTATTTGCATTCGTTCGTGACAACGGCATCAATTTCCTAACACTGTTAGCACTGACCTTGTAATAAAATATAGAAATAAGAGTCCGTAACACTATTTTGCTAAAAAATTCGACACTAGTGCTTTATGTTCATCTTGTCACTACGGAGTATTCGCTACCGAATATTGCAGTTATTACTCACATCTATTTGCTAATCAGTTCAGTTGGTTGGCAGGGTAATGAAAGTTGACCACTATGTTTTTTAATGCAATTGCAATTATCTTGCGTGGTGTTAAGATCGATTTTTTCAGTCGATTCGAGTCACTCCTCATGTTTCTCAGAAGTATTCGATTCCAGTTTGTAGCTAAGTATGTTTTCCTGTTCATTGGTAAGAGTTATACTTTCTTTCCGTTTTTTTTTTTACCATTTTCTGTTATTGAGGGAGCAATGGTAACCTAGGAGGAAATTAAAATAACTTCAAATCAAATTGTTACGAAAAATTAAACAAACACACGTCGTAGGTTATTATCAAGTCAATTTAGTCATTTTATAAAACAGAAAATCAATCTTTCTGAACAAGAAGATGGAATATCCCTTTAATAGTTCCGGCTCTCACTTTCATTTAAATTATATTAATATTACACACTCTTGCCATTTCATAATCATCAAATCAACACCATGCTCTTAATTATAGCAAATTAAATATAAAAAGGCTTTAATTATATTATTCATGACTAAAACTAATACATTTGGTGCTAATAAAAGGTAAATCCTTTTTTTTGGTATCATACGTACGTTGCTAATGGACTTAAAAAGCGGCATATCTGCGAAACATTATAATGCCTTTTAAATATGAAACATAATTTTTTTTTATTCAATGAACAGAAAGATAGCTGGATCTTTCGCGTAAATCCAATAAATGATTAAGCAGAGGAAAACTGCAAAACGCTCCATTTATTTTTCCATGTGCGATACATGCAAATGTGTCATAAAGACGCTGAGTTTGTAATATCACTATCTCTACGTATGGTGGGCAAGGAGCTATCGCGTTGGACATTCAACTGCATTGGTACTGATACTCTTTTCCTCTTTTCCATGTTAGAGTATTTACAGGTGAACTTAAGAGAGGGAGGCGATGCCACCGCTGTCACAACTCATCCAGGGCGCAGAGTATGACAAAGTGCGCTTCAAATGATCCACGTTTATGTTGATAATGGGAGGGGCTGTTGAAGGGTGTGCCTTATTTCTTTGCAGTTCCCATTCCTAAACCATTCTCAACTAAAACCATTCTAACTTTTGTTTCAGGTACCATTGCTTATCAGCTACACGGACTGGAAAAGGATATCAGGAAAAATGCTTGGTCACTGAATAATGGTGACAGGCTGTCACGATGGAGGAGTAATCCAAGCAAACAAAAGAACCTTATCTAAACTTTGGAATGCTTGCAAACATGGAGATGTTAAAACAGTCGAACGCTTAACAATCAAAAAAGCTGGTGCTAACGCAAAGGCTCATGGCATGGCTCTCATTCACATAGCTGCCCGATATGGTAACACCAATACTGTCAGGTATTTGCTCTCCTTAGGGGCCAATGTTAACGCGGTGGACGAAGAAGGTTGGACAGCTCTTCACTGGGCTAGTGCTGGCGGACATGTAACTGTTATGCAACTTTTGTTGGTCCATGGTACGGATCCCAACGTAAAAGCCAAAACGGGTGCTACCCCTTTACATCTCGCTGCATCAAACGGCCATGAAAACGCTGTGAACCTTCTCCTTACATTCGGCTGCGACGGAAATGTAGTGGATGGCAATGGCAGAAATTCGATGTTTCTTGCAAGCAGAGGCGGCCATGTTCCTGTAATAGAGGTTCTTTTGAAGCATGGCATTAAATCCAATGTACCACTCAAAAACGGACCTACGCCAGTTCACACTGCAGCAAAAAATGGTCATTCCAAAGCCGTGGACTTCCTAATTGCCTGTGGTGCTGATGTCGATGTGGTTGATAAAGACGGTTGGAATGCGCTGCACTCAGCTTGTCAGAATGGTCACGTGGATGTGGTGGAAACACTGCTCAAGACTGGAATGGAGGCTGATACTAGAATAAACGGCGGTTGTACCCCATTAATGATCGCAGGTTGCCACGGGCATCCAGAGGTAGTGGAGTTTTTAATCTGTAAGGGAGCTCACCCAAACAGTTCAGACAAATTTGGATGGACGGCCTTGCATTTCGCTTGTCTCGGAGGTCACTTGACTGTCATTCGAGAGTTACTTAAAGCAGGCGTCAACGTCAACGCTCGAACCTCACAAGGGACACTTCCTATTCACATTGCAGCTCGTTATGGCCAGGGGGAAGTGGTGAAATACTTGATGAGAAAGAACGCCGACATAATGGGCACGGATAATGACTACTGGAATATACTTCATTACGCTGCTCAGGGTGGTAAATTGCCTCAAGTTGTCATGGAGTCAATTATTAGTCAAGGTGTTGACATAAATGCACAATCACTTTTAGGAATCACTCCGCTCCATATTGCAGCGCGGCATGGTCATCAAGACGTGTTGGATTTTCTTTTGTCTCAAAATTCGGACCTTCTGGCAAAGGACAACCAGGGATGGACTGCCTTACATCACGCTTGTAAAGGAGGCCACCTTTTTGTCGTGGACAAACTATTCCACAAGGGAATCGATCCCAACTATGGAACTTACTCCGGTCTAAGCCCTATTGGAATTGCGGCACTGCGTGGGAACAAAGAATGCTTGGAATACTTACTTTCAGAGGGTGGGGACCTAAATGGCGTGGACAATGAAGGCGTTACTGTACTTCATTTTGCCAGCCAAGGGGGTCAAACAGACCTGATCGAATCATTAATTAATTGCGGAATGGAGCCAAACGTTCAAGCCAACAATGGGCTAGTTCCAATTCACTCTGCGGCCTTTAATGGCCATGCAAGTGCCCTAAACTTCCTCGTTTCAAAAGGAGCTGATATTAATGCTGTCGATAACCAAGGGTGGAACGTGTTACACTTTGCGTGTCAAAATGGACATGTCATCGCAATAGAAACAATTCTCGAGCTAGGTCTAGATCCCAATGCAAAAACAAAAGAAGGTAGAACTCCGCTTCACATTGCAACGATTCACGACCACCCAGAAGCCGTGCGGTTACTTCTTTCAAAGGGAGCTGATGAACACGTCCATGACAATGACGGATGGAACGCATTACATACCGCAAGTCATCATGGCCATATAGCAATACTGGAGCTTCTCCTCGAACTGGGTGTAGAGGTGGACTGTTTAACCAACGATAATTTGACGCCATTACTTCTGGCTGCCAAAGCTGGTCAAACTGAAGTCATAATTTCTCTGTTGTCTCGTGAAGCTAATCAAGACGCTAGTGACAACAGTGAAAATAAGGCGATTCATCTAGCGAGCCTGGGGGGTTATGTGAAAGTTGTAGAAACACTTCTCGAGCATGGAGTGAGCCCTAATCAGAAAACACAAAAAGGTGTTACTGCAATGCATTGTGCGGCATCAAGAGGTAATGGTGACATTATTAACTGTCTCTTAGAGAAGGGTGCAAACATGTACGAAGTTGACAACGAAGGTTGGAATACTTTGCATTACGCTTGTAAAGGTGGCCACGAAGAAGTAATTGAAATGCTTAAGAGGCTTGGCATGCCTTTAAACTGCCAAGCGGGAGACGGTTCAGTTCCTCTGCATATCGCCTCCCGCTACAGTCATCCGGAACTAGTGAACTTTTTACTGACACATGGAGCTGACAAACAGGCTGTGGATAAGAATGGGTGGAACGCCCTTCATCACTCCGCTAAAGACGGAACAGTGGCTGTTGCCGATCTCCTTCTCAAACAAGGAGGAGAGATGATTGTGAAGCGGACTCACGATGGAGACACAGCTATTGGTATAGCCGAGAAAGAAGGAAACAGGGATGTGCAGCAGTTTCTAAATAGTTTTGTTTCGAACCACTTGACTATTACAAGCAATAACGACAGAAAACACGCCTACTGCGTCATTCTGTAAGCCCTAACGTTAGGTGGAAATTGCTACTTTTGAATCGTCTTGATTAGGGAAATTCCTCTGGGAAAATTGCAGAGAACACTCCCGTTAATTGCTGTTAATTAATCAATGAGGGGAGAAGTTTATAGGGGAACAATTATCACACACAAGGTATGAATCTGAGAAAAGTATAACAGAGCTTTGCCGATTGTTAAACAAAAACCAAAAACAAAGCCATGTATGAGCCCTGAAAATCCACAGTTAGGAAGGAAAAAGGATTTTACCTTGTTTTTTGTCTAACCCAGTATTCAGATCAAGATTGTTTGATCTCTTTGGACGAGTAGAAGCAGAAACCAAGAGGCTTTTAACAAATTTAATACTTCCTCTATTGTACTTGTTCGTCTCTATTTCTCTTTAAGGACCTAGAAATTAAGGCGCGGATTCTTGGATCCCCCAGTTTCAGTCGTCATGGAGACACTGGAAAATGAAGGGGAATTGATCGTCAAACTGAATAGAGAGATGCTAGAAGTTTAACCTGAACTTTGCAAAATTACATGATTCTTTTAATTCAGCACCAAGATAGAAAGTAAAACTTTTATTGAATTCTGTCTTCATTTTATTCTAAAATATAAAAATGGGATTCCACACCTGAAGATGATTTGTCATGAAAGATGTACAATGGTAACATAACTCGTCTAGGACAAACAATTGCCATATTGGAACGATACCAGTTGCCATGCATGCTTCAAGGGAAAAACGTGATTTTTGGTTGATATTGCGGAATCTCTTTCAGAACTTTCAAATTCAGTTTGGAAAACATTGTAGAATAAATGGAATAGTGCAATAATTGAATATTTCATTTGAATGATCACGCCACAGGATTCTTTTCACAGGTTTTAAAGGTGTTACTTTACATTTCTAGTCCATAACTGTCTTTGGAAAGCATTCGAAATCAAAACGGGCGCTTTCCACTTTGCGGGCACTATCTAGTTTGAAATAAAATTAATGAACCATTAAAAATACCTCAAGTCTAGTTCGTAGATAAAGATAGCTTTTTGTTTCTCAATTTTAATGGATGAAATACTGGTAGCTTTCCTCAATGCCCTTGAGTTGCCTCCTTAGTGAAGGTGCACTTTGATCGACTTTTAACCCTTTAAGCCCTAAGAGTGATCAGCATCAAATTTGTCCTTTTAATATCAATGCTTTGTAAAACAGAGTGGTCATGAGAATTGCGGACATGATCACACAAGATATATTTGCTTGATATTTAAACACCTTCTAGCCACTACTTCTGTAGTAAATGAATGAGGCAACAAATGAGAATTCAAATTTTGATCTTAGGGTTTAAAGGGTTAAAGGGGGGGGGGGGGGGGGGGGGGTATAAAAGAAAAGGGGGAACCCACCCCCCCCTTTTCCCCAAAACANTTGACTAAGGAGGGAATGAGTCTTCTTTTGAGAACAGAATAATGTAAAAATGGAGGGCTATATATACAATAGACCAGTTTGCAAAATATGCATGACCTAAACTGAACACAAATCGATCTGTCAATTAGGATTAGAATCAATCTAAATAAGTGGAGGAGAGAGGCAACCCGAGAGCCACTTACAGTTTAATTTTCACTCTGATTAGGCTTCTGAAAACAAGGAAAAAATAGACTTTTCAAATACGTTTGATTAAATCAAATACTTTATTGTAACATTTGTAAAACTGTTAGTATACGTAACGTATATACAAAACAGGTTGATAACAGTTTGCAGTCTGTTTCTAGATCTTACTATATCTACGTTGGAATATTTGAAAAAATAACTCAAAGATCCTTACTTCTTTCTTCAAAAAATTGTTGCAAGTTTTCAGGATAAAGTTATATGGCACACAGTTCCTGACTGGCATCTTTTTTATTATCATTATTGTTATTTATAGATTATCAGATAAAAATCGCTTATGGCGGAGCTTCAGGCGCGCGCGAACCGCGCACTAGCATAGCCCCAAGTTAAGAAATTTGGTTACCTATCCATATAAGAAAATTTGCTGGTCACACTTTCAATTGGCAGCTGCCAAAACAGGGTATCCACTGACCAGTATCACATGACCGTACTGCTGGCGCAGGTGTAAACCCATCGAGATCACGTGTTTTTACGTTTACCGCTGACCAGCTACTAGTTTTCAACTAATCGCAGGCTAAAGTTCCATATTCAACGTTGAAATCCTCAGAGACCCGTTTCTTGAAAGTCCCAACAATTACCGGGTCTAGAAAGCTCTTTTATTCAAGATCGTTTTCTTTGCAGTGGTTACAAGTCCCATTACTTTCTCTTTATGTTTCGCTTTTAGCCCTTGATAAATCTATTTAGTATATACTAAGACAGTGGATAGTGTTTTTCGCGGGCTCTGGCTGGTTATTCAATCAGTGAATATCCTGCACTGTTCACTGATTCACCTCCAGTTCCTCCGAGCGAGCGACGCCAAACTCGCGTAAGTTGCGAGAAAAATGTCTTCCTGGTTTGCTGCCGTAACAAACAATGAATTTCACAACTAATCAAGCAACCTGTTCCCAAAATACACAAAGAAGGTGATGAAGTTCGATTTGGAAGTTTGAAAAGGTAAAGCGTTGCCTTTTCCACTTGAATTTATCGATAAAACCGTTGTTTTTTTTTACAAATGCAAATTAAGCTTAAGTCTTGCGTTACTTTATTTAGGCGACTTGTTCATAAATAAACTTAAAACTAAATTAAATAATCTTTTTTATAGAATGATTTTAAATACCGAAAGAATTCACAACTCCTTTTGAAGAAATTTCCCCGCAAGAGCTAAGCAAATGCCTTCAAAAGTTTTATTTGTCGGCAAGAAAAAGCGACGACCGCGGTCGATCGGTCATTGCGCGCCAAAATTGTAATCGTTGGCAACAGTAAATGAGTTAAAAATCATCATTTTTGTGCTCAATTATCCCACTGTTTTAGTACAAACTAAAACAATTATTCACCTCAGTGTCGATGGCTAGTGGGACACTCCTACACCCCTCCCCCTTAAAGGGGCTAAGTAACGTATCGCGATATTCCCATCAGTCGTTAATTAACAGTTAATGAATGAGGCTAAGTATGTTATGAAGAATTATGGTGATCGAGGAGGGTATTATATAACACCCTCCTCGATCTCCATAATTCTTCATGCGATACGAAAGCCGAATTCAATAATTGTTTTATTATTCATTCAAAATAATTCCTAGTTAAAAACATAGCTAAAACATGCTTACCTCCATCGATCCATCAATGTTAAGTTCATCTTCGATAGTGTACGTTTAGGTTTGTCCAGCTCCGCAAATATTCTCCAAATAACAGATGTCGCCCTCCGAGTTGTCTTCTTGCTGTTTTTGCTATGCTTTTAGCTATTACTTTGTCTAGTTCCAGCTGTAGTTCTTACTCTTGAAACTAGTGAAGTGTCGGCCATTTTTGTTTTCACAACCAAAACAACTCAACCTCGTCCCCAGGTCTTCTCGGTTAACGGTTCATTAACCTGTAGCAGACTGCATTTTGACGTCATTTCCTCTTAAACACAAAATTCTTCCAAATTTGGTCATCAGTAACTGGTTATGGGGAATTATGCGCGTGCTTTTAGCCAATCAGAATTGGGGAAATATTTTGGATGAATAATAACTAGGATTAACTATGCTAAAACTGGCTTATTTGCAGCATGATATCCAAAAGATACTGAGGGGAAATTTATCCGTCTCAGAGCTACTTCTCAGCTATCAGTTAAATCTACGTTCATTTCGCTGGCTGATAAAATTTTGGCCGATTCTCAACTCCTGTATCAACAGGCTCTTGGTATTACTTAATACATTTCTGCTATATGATTGGCTTAGAGCAGTGGTATTTTACCTTAATTTGAAATACCTACATGTGAAAATTACAAACCTTTTCCAGGTAGTAGTATAAACAAATAATAGCATGATTTGTACTTGATATTTGGCACAAATACAACTCATGATATTTCAAAATTGTCTCAAATTTCACTTGCCTAACGGCTCGTGAAATTACGTATAACAATTTCGAAACATCACTCGTGGTATTTATGCCAAATATCACTACTAATCATGCTATTACCTATACTAACCCAATTACAACCTCTTATTACATCCACTTTGAAATCACTGGTTAGCCGTGCAATATGATTGGCTCTCAGCAGTGTGATTTATTCCTAAATCGCACCATTTTTTGCTTTAAAACGCATCTGCTCCAAATCGCGTCATTCATGTTCTAAATCGCATCATTTC